GCCCCCGCCCGGCCCCGGCCGGCCCCCCGTGGAGCCGCGCCGGGCCCCCGGGATCCCCTCCTCCGGCCGCCGCGCCCCACGGCCCGCCGCGCCCCGGCCCGCACCGCCCTGCACTCCGCCCTCCCGGCCGCCGCCGCACGCCTGCACCCCACAGTCTCACGCCCACGCTTTCGTGGTCCCCACTGAATCCCCACGCGGGGCCCGGCGGTACAGGAGGGCCAGGCCAGCCTATGGGGGCGCCCAGATAACGTGGGTTGGGGCGCCTGCGCCCCCCATCTCCGCCAGCATGGCTCAGCCGCCGCCCCTCGGGGAGCTGCCCCCGGGCTACACACCTCCAGATCGATCCACAGGACCCCAGGTGAGTAGAGGGAACGCTAGAGGAAGGAAGAGTGGGGCCAGGTCTGTCACTCGGGCCTCTTCAAGGTGTGATGTCTTTAAGTGTCTGCTGTGTGTCACCGAGTGTGTTAGAAAACAGAGGAAAGTTAGCATGACCAGACAAGCTGTGTGTGTGTCTGTGTCTCCTAGACACCTGGCCAGTAAGAGTGAGTGTGTCTGTGGGTTCACCTCTGGATCCACCTGACAACAGGTGTGTGTATATATGTATCCTACTCTCAGAAAAGGGTGTATGTCTTTCTCGGGGTGAGGTGGAGGTGGGGGGTAGTTAAATCTTTTTCCAAGTTTGGGCTTGTGTCTGTGTAGGTGCTCCCTGTCCTGCATCCAGAAATCAAGCAGCTAGGGCTTGGCAGAGGGTATACAGGGAGAGAAAGGAAGGATTTCATGCATTGTTACAGTGATGCTTGGTTAACCCTTCTCTTTCCATCCCAGATCCTAGCTGGGAGCCTGAAGGCTCCACTCTGCCTTCGTGCTTACTTCCAGGGCCTGCTCTTCTCTCTGGGCTGTGGGATCCAGAGACACTGTGGCAAAGTGCTCTTCCTGGGACTGTTGGCCCTTGGGGCCCTGGCACTGGGTCTCCGTGTGGCCATTATTGAGACAGACCTGGAACAACTCTGGGTAGAAGGTGAGTTGTGGACACTGGCTATAGCTGCTTGGATATGGTGAGCCCAAGACAACAGGGTGAAGAGCTGGCTACTGAGCCGTAGTAGGCCTGGTGGGGTGTATGCCAAACAGAACCTGTGCACCTGGGCATCTGGAAGCACTGCTCCCTCCCACACCTGTAAATGGACATCTGCAGATGGTGGAGTCCTATGAATAGGTATATAAAATATTCATCTAGAGGGCCGGCCCATGGCTCACTTGGGAGAGTGTGGTGCTGATAACACCAAGGCCACGGGTTCGGATCCACATATAGGCATGGCCGGTTAGCTCACTTGGGAGAGCGTGGTGCTGACAACACCAAGTCAAGGGTTAAGATCCCATTACCGGTCATCTTTTAAAAATATATGTGTATATATATTCATCTATAATTATATGTATTTATGTATCATTTATTGCCAACCTTCTATGTGTATTTTTGACTGTGCAGCAGCAGGGTTTGTTTAAAAGACAACTAAAACAAGACCTATCTTTCAGTAGCAAGGAAAGTAAAATATGTGCTGGGATAGCTATAATATAATACTAAACAGAATATGACTATATTGTATAAGAAAAGGAGGGAAAGATCACTTCTGACCAGGAGAATCAGAGAAATTAGGACTAGAAAGCTAGAGAAACTGAGTAAATCATCTGACCTCCAGATGAGAGGACTTATGCATCCAGGTCCCCTGCAACCATTTAGTGGAAAAGCAGTACAGAATCTGCACTTTGAGGCAACAGGAAGGGTCAGATGGGATCAAATCCTCACTTCCTAATGGACAAAAATGATTTCTTATTAATAATTTCAGCATGACTCTGTTCTTTCCTGAAGCCTGGTTTCACATGGCAGCCTTTGGCAGAAGCAAACTCCACTCTGTTCTTTCCTGGGAAATTTGCATTTTTGGGCTCCCCTAGACCTCCTCCAGCCCTGGCTCATGCCCAAAGCCAGGGGCCAGATTGGAGTTTCACACCCTTAAATTATTTCAAATGCTGGCTAGTCCTCGGATCCAGAGCAGATGTTTCCTAGAGCCTGCCTGCCTTGTGGTCTCCCATACTTCATCTCCACCCTACTCTCTAGCCCTCTGCAGGCTCTTTCATCCATTCACACTCTAGGACAGCCCTAGGGTCCAGAGCAGATGTTTCTCTGTGCCTGCCTGCCCCCAGCCCCAGAACACACATGTGTATGCACGCACATACACATACCCCCACCCACACCACCGCTGCCTGGGTGGTCCCAAATGACTCTTGGATTTCCTTCCACAACAGAGGCAGTCTCCCTCCCATTCCTCTTTCCCCATTCCCCAGATCTTCCCTGTCTAAACACTGTTTGAACCTCCATGTTTTCTCATCCTCTCTCCTGCACTCCAGCACAGGAGAGGATAGACACCATCAAGTTTTTGCTGTTGTCTGGGGGAGGGTGTTTAACTCCTAGGCTTTTTTCCTTTATTTCAGAATAGCGCTCTGTCCTTTATTGGCTGGGAGTGAGGTAAAAACAGTGATCTTTTCTCTGTAGATCTACAGCTGAGCCTTCTCTGTAGTTGAGGCTTCTCCCTCAGTGCCCTAGGCAGTGAGGAGCTGATCAAGGTGAGGACTGAGAGGAGTTCTCTGTTCCTTTTCCGTTTTGCTAATACAGAAAGCAGAGGAAGAAACAGGACATTGGCTGAGTTCTGGGCCAGAGTTCAGGGTCCTCCCCAGCTTTGCCATGATGAGACTTGGAATGTGACTTGTTTGTCTTTCCCAGTCAACTTTAAAGCTAAAGGGCTCAGAGGTAGATTGTTCTTTAAAATAAAAATTATAGGGCTGGCCCGGTGGGGCACTGCTACAGTGCGCCGCTTGGGAAGCGCGGAGGCGCTCCCGCTGAGGGTTCGGATCCCACGTACAGACATGAAAGAAGAAGAAAAGAGAGGAGGGAGGGAGGAAGGAAGAAGATTGATTTACTATCCTTTGTAACAAGAAGTCTGGCGGTAGGAACTCCAGGATGCTTAATTGAGCAGCCCATGGAATCAGCCAAGGACCCAGGTTCTTCCTGTCTTTCTCCTCTGCCATCTTCAGCATACTGGACTTTTATCCTATGGCTTACCCCAAGGTGGCTGCTGCAGTGGCAGAAAAAGGAAGGTCATTCCTGTCTTGCATCCCTTTCTGAAAGTGAGATAAAATTTACCAGAAGCCTCCCAGCCAACTTCCCATTTGGTCTCTTTGGCAAAAACTGTGTAGCATCCTATAACTAAATCCTTCACTTGGCAAAGGCAGTAGAATTACTGTGATTGCCTTCTTAGACTAATCAAGTGTTACCCTCTGATGCTGGGGAGGAACCAAGCTGTCCTTAATCACTAGGCCTTTCAGAGGATGGCCAACAAAGTCAGGGTCTGTTAGAAACAAGAGAGATGAAAGAGCTGTCAGCCTCACCTTCAAATCTGCCTCCACACCGCCCCCCTGTGGTGTATCTAAATCTGGCCAAGTCGAGCTTAGAGCCCTTCCACCAAATTCTACCAGATTCTTTGGAGTCTCCAGAATCAAGTTTAAGCTCCATAGCACACATTCTAGGCCCTCTGTAATCTGACTCAGTTGCTTCTCCAGCACTGTCGCCAGCTCCTCCATGGCACACTTTTAGTAGTACCAAAACCCTGAGCCTTTGACAGTTCCCTTCATTCTCTTGGTCCAGAACCTCTTCCTGCATTCCCCTGACCAACTCTTACTTGGCTCCAGAATACATTCTTAGGAGATGAAAAAATCAGATTATTTCACTCTGCTCAAAGCCTACCATGACGCACTCCTATTTCACTCAGAGAAAGCCTGAGACCCTACAATAATTTATAGGCCCTTACATGTGAAATTTCTAGACCAAAGATTATGAGCATACACATTGCAGTATTGCTTTCCCCCAAATAGTGTACCTACCAAATTACATTCCCATGGCAAATTAGAGTATATTCCTGTAAACTAGCAATGAGTGCTATCAATTTTTAAATTTTTGCTAATTTGATAGATGGTAACTTGTTGCTGTTTTAATCTGCCATTTATAAGATTATAAAGTGGACTCTTTTTCCATGTTAGTTAACCAGTTATATTTTCCCTTTTATAAAGACACAAAGGTTATTTTCGTTTGTTTGTTTTCCCTAAGTAACTGGCCTTAATTTTTTTTTTTAAAGATGACCGGTAAGGGGATCTCAACCCTTGGCTTGGTGTTGTCAGCACCACGCTCAGCCAGTGAGCAAACCGGCCATCCCTATATAGGATCCGAACCCGCGGCCTTGGTGTTACCAGCACCGCACTCTACCGAGTGAGCCACGGGCCGGCCCAATTGGCCTTAATTTTATAGAAGTTTTAGGTCTACAGAGAAATTGAGCAGAAAGTAAGGCCTGGCAAGTTAGCTTAGTTGGTTAGAGCATAGTGTTGTAACACCAGGGTCAGGGATTTGGATTCCCATATGGGCCAGCCACCAAAAGAAAAAGGAAAGAAAATACAGGAAGTTCCTATTACCCCCCCCCCCCATATATATAGTTTCTCCTATTATTAACATGTTACATTAGAGTGGTACATTTGTTACAATTATGAACCAATATTGACCTGTTATTATTAATTTGGTTTACATTAGTCTTCCCTATTTGTGTTGTATAGTTCTATGGTTTCTGCCAAATGCATAATGTGTATTCACTATCACAGTATCACACAGAATAGCTTCACTGCCCTGAAAATCCTCTGTGCTCCACCTATTCATCCCTCCCTCTGTACTTCCCTCCTTCCCTGAAACCCTGGCAACCACTGAGTTTTTTTCCCCCATTATGTCAAACATTTATCATTTCTTTGAAGGCACAAAAGTTTTTAACAAATGTTTTGATTTCAGTGTTCTCCTTCCACTATTCTATTTCCTCCCCACTCACCTACAGTCTTTTTTCCTCCAGTTCTTTCTCTTTTTCTGGTACATTTTTTCTCTCCCGGCAACCATTGAATAACAACTTCATATCTGTACTCACTATGTGCCAGGCAATTTCCTAAGTACTTTGCCTACATTGATTCTAATTCTGCCAAGGTAGGGACTGTCTCCAATTTACACATAAGGAAATCGAGGCTCAGAGAGAGTAAGTAATTTGCCCAAGGCACAGACTAAGGGTATCATAGCCAAGACTCAAAGTCAGGTCTGTACAGAGCCTGTGTCTTCCTGCCTGCACAATACATCCCAGTTCTTCTGTCCTTATTTCTGTCATCATTGTTGTCAGCTGAGGTTTATTTTTTTCTTTTCCCCATTTTTCATCCTGAAGATTCTTTATTCTCTTTGGTGTTATGTTTTAAATTGTCAGTGTTTCTTTCTCTTGCTTTCTTAGCAGATCTCTCTGGGTTCCTTCCTTCTCCAATGTCTCCTTCCCCACAGCAAACTCACTATGGGGAGCTTATCTCTGTCCTCCCCTCCTTTCCCTTCAAGTGGCAGCCTCTGGCCTAAGCCTGCTAAAATAAACACTGCAGTACAGGCCTGGGAAAGAAATGGGGCATAGGGAAGAGTCAGGGAAGGAAGAAAAAGAGTAGGTGGAATTAGACAGGGAAGGGAAGGCAGGATAACTGTGCAAGACTGTTCATGAGGGGAGGGCCAGGAATGTGATGTGGGTAGGAGGATGGGAGTATATGCGTAAATCTGTTGGGGGGTTCTCATGAGTGAGGAGATTATGTGGATTTGAAAAAGAGATCGGGGAGCATGATGATCCCAGGTAGGGCTAGAGTCTCAGAGAAGCAGTACATGTGGGTCCCGGGGTGTTAGTGACCAAACAGGGAACCCCCCCACCCCAATAGGTGGGAGCAGAATTGGGTCTGAGACTGGACCAAATCCACAAAGCCTCCAGGGGTAGGTTTGGCTCTGGCCCTCATCCTCCTCCATACCATAGTTAGGTCATATTCCCCCACAGGTTCCTCCCTCCCCCGGCCCTAGTTATAGAGCATGACTCCATGGCCAGCACAGTGCAGGACTTGAGAGACACTAAGATCAAGGAGACTAAGGCAGGCCTGGTACTGGGACTCCCTGTGATCTGGACATTGAGGCTGCTGAAATGAATCTGGACCCCTCCTTCCCCTTGGTCCAGTTTAATTTCACCTCAACCAGGGTACATAGACTGATCCCATGTACTTCTTGCCTGAGAGGGAGCATCATGCTGAAAGACTGTCTGGGCCTCCCCCTTGCTCATGCAACTGCAGGGCCCATTATTACCAGGCACTCCCATCCCTGCCCTCTTCCCAGAGCAGTTTGCAGAAAGGTATGTGGATATAAATCACTGCCCAGGGCAGCCTGAACTAAGAACCAGCCCCAACCCTATACCTGTTTTGTAGGATACCCTCTCAATGGCAGCCTCCCTTTTGTCCCCTGTTGTCCGTCCTTGTCCTCCCCACCAGAGAAGAGAGGGATCAAGTGAGGGCTCTCTTACCAAGATGCCCCCATAACCCTAGCCCCCAGCCCAGGCCCATCTCATGCTGATTCTTTTTTCTTCTTTTTTTTTTTTTTTGTCTTTTGTCTTTTTCCGTGTCCGGCAATGGATCGCAACCCTCAGTGTTGCCCCCGCACCGGACCGGGGACCGGCAACGGGATCGCAACCCTCGGCGTGAGTATTCCATTCTCGTTCAGTTCTCCTAAGGAACCCTCAAGTAGCATATGAACCCCTTTTTCCTCTTGTAAGCCCAAACAAGGCTGGACTTATCAAAATAGACTTGTACAAAGAAACTAAGAACAAAAGAGCTAAGCACAAATATACCTTGTTTCCCAAATGTCTGTGTGGCCCTGTGAATGTGGTACTTTTTCCAAAACCCACCCAAGTTATGCCAGGTCCTCCCAGCAGCATATTTCCAGGCCTCTGCTCCCTCTCGTGGCCTCCTATCTGCAGGACAGTGGCTATTCACTCTTTCGGAGTAGGAAAGAGGCTCAGGAGAATAGTTATCTATACTTCAGGCTTACTGAGCTCCACAGGGGGCATGGTTCCTGGAGGTACAAGCCCAGGTACACCCAGTTATCCACGCCAGGGCCTTAAGTATCAAACCCCGTCTCTGTCCCCCTCCAGGCTCCCAATGTGGCTCAGGAGCTGAGTGGGGGCTGCCATGGCTTCTCCCACAAATTCATGCACTGGCAGGAGGAATTGCTGCTGGGAGGCATGGCCAGAGACCCCCAAGGACAGCTGCTGAGGTAGGGCCTCCCCAGGGAGTTGGCGAAGGGACTGGTACATGGAAATCCACCCTCTAATGCAAAGTAGTTTTGGCAAAAGCCCCGTGCACAACCACCTGGTGTTTGGGCCAGCTCTGACCCCTAATTTGCCTGCACCCACACCAGGGCAGAAGCCCTGCAGAGCAGGGGACTGGTACATGGAAATCCACCCTCTAATGCAAAGTAGTTTTGGCAAAAGCCCCGTGCACAACCACCTGGTGCTTGGGCCAGCTCTGACCCCTAATTTGCCTGCACCCACACCAGGGCAGAAGCCCTGCAGAGCACCTTCCTGCTGATGAGTCCACGCCAGCTGTATGAACACTTCCGGGGTGACTACCAGACACATGACATTGGCTGGAGTGAGGAGCAGGCCAGCACAGTGCTGCAGGCCTGGCAGCGGCGCTTTGTGCAGGTCAGTGTGGACAAGGACAAGGAGGGGTACCTTGAGGCCATTCCCTTCTCCCACCCCCTCAGATCCACCCTGTCTCTCCAGCTGGCCCAAGAGGCCCTACCTGAGAATGCATCCCAGCAGATCCACGCCTTCTCCTCCACCACTCTGGATGACATCCTGCACGCATTCTCTGAAGTCAGTGCTGCCCGTGTGGTGGGAGGCTATCTGCTCATGGTGGGTCTTGCCCTGGCACCTTGTTCCCTCCTCTACGCAGTGCCCACTCTGGGAGCCCCTGTCCAAGATTGAGCCCTCTCTCCCCACAGCTGGCCTATGCCTGCGTGACAATGCTGCGGTGGGACTGTGCCAAGTCCCAGGGTGCTGTAGGCCTTGCCGGGGTGTTGCTGGTGGCTTTGGCAGTGGCCTCAGGCCTTGGGCTCTGTGCCCTGCTCGGCATCACCTTCAATGCTGCCACTACCCAGGTACACCAGGACTGCAGGGCAGACTTTGGGTGTCACTGCCAGGCTGCACAGGTCCTCCAGCTGCCAACCCCTCTGCCTCTCCAGGTGCTACCCTTCTTGGCACTGGGCATCGGCGTGGATGACATATTCCTACTGGCGCATGCCTTCACAGAGGCTCCACCTGGCACCCCTCTCCAGGTGAGGCCTCATCCTCCAGCCTGGGTTCATATAAGGCAGATCAGCATAGTGGTTAGGAGCCTCTTGATTTGAATAAGTTTGAGCTGCCAATTAACCTCTCTGTGCCTCAGTTTTCGCATCTGAAAAGGGGGGTAATAATAGTGCTTGTGGTCTAAGGGTGGTTGTGAAGTCCATGAGATATTTCACCTTGAGTGCTTAGAACAGTGCAAGACACATATGTGGTACTCAGTAAATGTTAGCTGCTGTGCTATTATTGCCCACCTCTGCCATCCCAAGTTCCTGAGCCTCCCCTTCACTCTATCTTGAGGACCCTAGGCCCCCCTCCTCTGTGACCTGAGGGCATGTCCCCACTCTGTCCTGGCAGGAACGCACAGGAGAGTGTCTGCAGCGCATGGGCACCAGTGTTGCACTCACATCCATCAACAACATGGTTGCCTTTTTCATGGCTGCCCTAGTTCCCATCCCTGCACTACGGGCCTTCTCCCTGCAGGTGAGGCCACACAAACTGGGCGGGCTCAGGGTGGAGGCAGAGCTGGAGGTGTGTGTCATCCAGCCTTTGTGCCCCTCCTGTCCATCCCCCAGGCAGCTATCGTGGTGGGCTGCAACTTTGCAGCTGTGATGTTTGTCTTCCCGGCTGTTCTCAGCCTGGACCTGCACCGGCGCCACTGCCAGCGCCTTGATGTGCTCTGCTGCTTCTCTAGGTACCATCCCTATACCCCCATTCCCTTCTTCACTTGACCCCACCCCAGCTTATTCTCTCACCAGCACTTCAAGGCATAGACTTGTCATCCACTCTGCCTCTTCCAGTCCCTGCTCTGCTCGAGTGATTCAGATTCTGCCTCAGGAGCTGGGAGATAGGACAGTACCAGTAGGCATTGCCCACCTGACGACCACAGTTCAAGCCTTTACCTGCTGTGAAGCCAGCAACCAGCATGTGGTCACCATCCTGCCTCCCCAAACCCACCTGGTGCCCCCACCTCCTGACCCACTGGACTCTGAGCTCTTCAGCCCTGGAGGGTCCACACGGGACCTTCTAGTCCAGGAGGAGGGGACAAGGCAGAAGGCAGCCTGCAAGTCCCTGCCCTGTGCCCGCTGGAATCTTGCCCATTTCGCCCGCTATCAATTTGCACCCTTGCTGCTCCAGTCACAGGCCAAGGTAAGACTGGGTGGGGCAAGGCAGAGGCTTAGTGTTTCTGGGCCCCAAGAAGGGCAGAGGACCTGGCCCCCACCTGAGGGCTGGAGTGCAGTCTGGGCCTCCGGCTTAGTTGCCACTTCCCACAGGCCCTGGTGCTGGTGCTCTTTGGGGCTCTTCTGGGCCTGAGCCTCTATGGAGCCACTTTGGTGCAGGACGGACTGGCCTTGACAGATGTGGTGCCTCGGGGCACCAAGGAGCATGCCTTCCTGAGCACCCAGCTCAGGTACTTCTCCCTGTACGAGGTGGCCCTGGTGACCCAGGGAGGCTTTGACTACGCCCACTCCCAACGTGCCCTCTTTGATCTGCACCAGCGCTTCAGTTCCCTCAAGGCCGTGCTGCCCCCACCTGCCACCCAGGCACCTCGCACCTGGCTGCACTATTACCGCAACTGGCTACAGGGTGAGAGACAATGAGACCAGTAGGGAGGGGTGCTGCAAGGAGAAGCCCCCTGGGGCTGCAGGCTAACTGTACCCTGTCCTGTTCTCCCCCAGGAATCCAGGCTGCATTTGACCAGGACTGGGCTTCTGGGCGCATTACACGCCACTCATACCGCAATGGCTCTGAGGACGGGGCCCTGGCCTACAAGCTGCTGATCCAGACCGGGGACGCCCAGGAGCCTCTGGATTTCAGCCAGGTTGGGGGAAGGCTAGAATGGTCAGGGAGCGCAGAGGGGCTCCAGGCCTCCTGGGCCCAGGCTTTCAGCCTTCTCTGCTTCTGCAGTTGACCACAAGGAAGCTGGTGGACAAGGAAGGACTGATTCCACCAGAGCTCTTCTACGTGGGGCTCACTGTGTGGGTGAGCAGTGACCCCCTAGGTCTGGCAGCCTCACAAGCCAACTTCTACCCCCCACCTCCTGAATGGCTGCATGACAAATACGATACCACCGGAGAGAATCTTCGCAGTGAGTCCTGGGGGAGCTCAGCAAGAGCCTCAGCCTCAGCCCGCACAGTCCCTGCCCCTGAGACCCTGCCTGCTGTTCCCTGTGCTCACTCGCCCCTTCCCTCTTGCTGTTCTCCCCTCCTCTCTGCAGTCCCGGCAGCCCAGCCCCTGGAGTTTTCCCAGTTCCCCTTCCTGCTGCGCGGCCTCCAGAAGACTGCAGACTTTGTGGAAGCCATCAAGGGGGCCCGGGCAGCGTGCGCAGAGGCAGGCCAGGCTGGGGTGCATGCCTACCCCAGTGGCTCCCCCTTCCTCTTCTGGGAGCAGTATCTGGGTCTGCGGCACTGCTTCCTGCTGGCTGTCTGCATCCTGCTGGTATGCACTTTCCTCGTCTGTGCCCTGCTGCTACTCAACCCCTGGACAGCTGGCCTCATAGTGAGTACTTGAAGGGGTGGAGTCAGAGAACCAGTGGCACTCCCACCCTTCCCTGCCCAGCCCATCATCCCTCCTGTCAGGAACCCTGGGTGAGTCCTGCCCTCCCCAGGTGCTGGTCCTGGCGATGATGACCATGGAGCTCTTTGGTATCATGGGTTTCCTGGGCATCAAACTGAGCGCCATCCCCGTGGTGATCCTCGTGGCCTCCGTAGGCATTGGTGTCGAGTTCACAGTGCACGTGGCTCTGGTGAGCAGCTGGGGGAGGGATGGGTCAGCTGACTCAGTATTCAACAAATGTGGTTCAAGAATCTTCTATGTGCTATGTACTGTTTAAGAACTAGAGATGTAATAGCAATACAGTATTTTTTTTTTTTTGGTGGCTGGTTGGAGAACAGTCTTTACCTTCAAGGAGCTTTTATTCTAGGGGGTAGAGATAGACAATAAACAAGTAAACAAATAAGAAGCCATTTCGGTAGAGAGAAGGGAACAAAGGCCTGTCTGGAATGGGTTAAGGACAGAATGGAAGGTGAGAAAATGAGAACAAACTATTATTATTATTATTATTATTTTGGCAGCTGGCTGGTATAAGGATCTGAACCCTTGACAAGCTTATATTCTAGGGGGTAGAGATAGACAATAAACAAGTAAACAAATAAGAAGCCATTTCGGTAGAGAGAAGGGGACAAAGGCCTGTCTGGAATGGGTTAAGGACAGAATGGAAGGTGAGAAAATGAGAACTATTATTATTATTATTATTATTTTGGCAGCTGGCTGGTATAAGGATCTGAACCCTTGACCTTGCTGTTATCAGCACCACACTCTAACCAGCCAGCTTCCAACAATTATTTTGAATGGTTTTACTGTGAAGGGGATCAGAGAAATGGGATGGTAGCTGGATGTTTATTTATAAATCAGGTGATAGGCAAGAGTCTGCCCCCCCTATTCTGGGCATCTCTGTGTGTCTAAGCCCACCAAACACATCCATTCAGTGTCACTTAAGTGGACCCAAACATGCTTCCTGGACCATTCCCAGGAACTCAGTTCACCAGCCTTCTGTGGGCCAACACATGGGTGAGCACTGGGAACAGATAAGTAGCACTGGTGACATGGGTGAGCTGGCCATGGTTGGCAAAGGAACAGCTCCAGGACCACTCTGTTCCTCCAGGGCTTCCTGACCACCCAGGGTAGCCGAAACCTGCGGGCTGCCTGTGCCCTAGAGCATACATTTGCCCCTGTGACCGATGGGGCCATCTCCACGTTGCTGGGTGTGCTCATGCTTGCTGGTTCCAACTTTGACTTCATTGTAAGGTAGGGGAGGGCTGCGGGTGAGAACCTGCCCACGCTGGCCTCAGTGCCTGCCCAGGCTGACTCCACACCCCCACCCAGGTACTTCTTCATGGTGCTGACAGTGCTCACACTCCTGGGCCTCCTCCATGGACTTGTGCTCCTGCCTGTGCTGCTGTCCATCCTGGGCCCCCCGCCAGAGGTGACCACACCCTCTCTCTGCTCGCAGCCCAGCGGATGGGATGGGGACAGGCAAAGGAAGGGACAGAGCCAGGACAAAATGCCCTCAGTGTCCAACAGTCAGGGTTTGGCTCAAAAGGGCTCTCCTCAACAGGTGCCACTGGATGAAAGTGGCAGCCTCCTCCTTTCCCTAGACACCATGCTCCTGCCCCTCAGCCCTCCTGGCTTCTTCATAGGACCTACCTTAGCCTTTTAGGATCCAGAACAAGGTGCAGGGTTTGCCGTAGGCCTCAACATCCCATTGCTTGTCAGCTCTTGAATCCTGTTGGAGGCCCAGCTTCCCAGCAGTCATGGTGATCACCAGGGAAGTGCTAAAGGGGACTCACTGGGGCTGGTGTCTCTCCCCAGGTGGTACAGATGTACAAGGAGAACCCAGAGGTCCTGACGCCCCCAGCTCCGCGGGGAGGTGGGCTCACGTGGGGGATGTCCCCCACCCTGCCCCAGAGCTTTACCAGAGTGACTACCTCCATGACCGTGGCCCTCCACCCACCTCCACTGCCTGGTGCCTACATCCACCCAGCCTCTGATGAGTCCACTTGGTCCCCTGCTGCCACCCCAGCTACCAGTGGCTCTGCTAACCTCAGCTCTACGGGACCATGTCCAGCCACTGGGTGAAAGAGCAGTTGAAGCCTGGAGACCCTGTTTGGGCCCCATGAAGTCACTGGGAAGCAGTGGGTGGATACTGAATGCAGGATAGACCCTTTGAGGGCCCTGCTGCTGCTGCTGTCTGTCTATATTTATCCACTCCCCTGACTCAGCCATCACAGACCTCCCTGATAGCCATACAGAACAGCTACCCATCGGCTCTGAGCAGCCTTGCACACAGATCTGTGTGTGCTGGTGTCTGTGTCCAGGTCGGGGTGGAAGCCAGCATTTCAGGCTGCAGTGCAGCGCTGTCCCTCCTCCCACCCCACACTGCTGCCTGCCCAGCATACCAATCCTGAGGGATCCTCT